CAGCTCTGATCACTGATTTTTGACTCGGTTACTCCTACTCTAGTCATGATTTTAACAGTGGTGGTTCTGGTCTGTGTTCCAGGATTTCAGCCAAGACTATGGCCACTATAATGATACTTAAGGAATATTAATTGCTTATTTGTCTTTGGCCTCAGTCTAAAAACATCCCTTGATCACAAATGAGGAATTAATTTACAAGATATTTTGAAGGCAGACATGAGTAAGCTTTTAGCTGGAAACTGTGCAGTCACAGCTAGTGCAGCATCAGGGTAGTACTGCACTAATCAGTTTGCAATTTGTAGCACTGTCACTGTAGAAAGGAGAAAAAAATTGCAAAAAGGAGAAGTCATATCTGTCAGCTTGCAAATCTCTCATAAACATGATCCCAGGTTAGAGAGGCAGTTTTCAAACATAAATATATGAAGGTGGATCCAACTTTACAGCATTAAATCATAGAGATTATAATGTCAGAATATTGATTATCAATGAGATCCAAGTATCAGTGTCATAAAAGTCATCCTGGATCAGTCTCCTAGCTGTGGAGGAGTTGATTCCTAGAGCAGAGAATGGATCTGGAGCCCTCTGAATGTGGGTCTTCTGATTTCTGAAGTTTGGGAGCCCTTATACAGACTTTGGATAATAAACATCTTTTGGTGAAAAAAAAGGGTCAACAATAAACTTCCAATGTTAGCAATCTCACTTCCTTTATTTTCCAAGCAGCCTTTGCCAGGAACCTGGCTAACAGTGCATTGCTTCTCAGCTGAGAGATCTTCTCTTTACCTTCCTAGGCCACTTGTGTTAGAAGAGACCCCTGGACTCTAAAGTCTGTTCTAGACTGGGAAGCTTGGGAAGGTAGTGGTTTGTTCCCCTCCAGTTCAAAGCCCATTCGTGTGCCTATATATTTGTCTGGTTGCTGCAGAGTACTCAAGACATCCCTGTGGACTTCCCAAACTAGTTAAAGTTGCAACTCTTATGTACCCTGAAATAGCTCAAGCACAGCTTGGAACGCAGCTTTTTTCCCCAAAGCTGTGTGTGCAGGAGGATGGATAGGGACAGTGCAAGCCAAGGATAGCTCAGCTAACACTAACCCTTCCTGAATATCGCCATGGGATTTTTAAATGCTACTCAGCTCCTGCAGAGATGCGGAAAGATATGACCCCGGTTCAACATCTCATCCAAAAAGCAGTAAGTAGTTCTGACAGTGCAGATCTCCCTGAGAGCTGTATGGAAAAGTCAGACTTGGATGTGAGCCGAGCCTTAGTGTTGTGCTGAAATGCAAGATTTTTGGGTTCTAAAATGACTTCAGGCAATCCATACCCTGACAGATGGGAACCGCAGGATTTGGAGTTCCCGACAAGGAAATTATTCCTAAAATTACTGGTGGGGAAAATGGAAGAAGGAACAATTGTGATTATTTGCTGCTACCAAAGTAGGTGAGACCTGTTCAGGGAACAAATGCAGACTTCATTTCTTAATCTGGTTACTCTGACACGTCCCAAGAGCTTTACATTGTGAGGAAAAGAATAAGAGGCTTGCTCTATGAATAGCTCATATATCAGAGTGGGGGGAGAATGAGATCAGCTTTAGGTAGTTTGTCTTTATTAATTCATCACATCTGCCCGGAGGCCTCCATCAACACTCCAGCCTTGTGGTGCTGTGCCAACAAGTGCAAACACAGCCCCTGCCCTCGAGCTATCTCAGCTTGGGATTACTGCAGGCTCAGGAGCGGGGGACTCATCCGGAGGTGTGAGGCAGGGAGATACTGGTGTGACAAACACATTTGCATGCCACCCGAAGCCCCAGCCAGATTCCTCCCCAGGCTCTGCCGGCCAGCGGCACTTCCTGGGATTCGTGGCAGAGGTAAAGCATAAAAGAGGATTTGATGGAAGACAAGATGGCACCTTGCGGGGAGATTTTTACCATGATTTAGAGGGCAGGCTGTGAGAAAACATAAAAGTGTCTCCAGGAGAAATGACAGGATCTGTTATCTTTAGTGAGGGAAGAAAGTTTTCTGCTGTGACAGAGTATTAGATTTAAGAACCAAGGAGATACCAAGCAGTGAAGAGGCTTAGAGGTAAAGGCTTGAGCTTTTCTCCCAATCCCACAGAAATATTTATAGTATCAAAACGTGTGCTATCAAGATGAAAAAATGAAATCTCAGTAACAGCGCTTTGATGTTTTTTAGCTGGTGGGAATCTTGAAAAAAAATCCATTGTGTTCAGCTTTATTATAGAAAAGAAGCTATAAATTCTTTCTGCTTTCCTCATGAATGGTCCCCCAGGGCAGCCGGGGAGCCAGCATGTTCCAGTTTTCACCCAAATGTCACTTTTCATGCTCATCCCATGGATTCCTCATACCCACCACTGCAACTTGGGGCACACCAGTGAAATCACCACTGAAGGCTGTTGTGCAGGTGCTGTGTAGTCCCAGTCCTGGTCTGTACTTCCAGTTTTCAGGTGCCCTTGGGCTAGCATCTGTATGACCCATGCTTTGTGCTTGAGGGAAATAAGAGAAGCAAAGATTTTTTTGGGGTTGTAATGTTCTGTTGGAGATGTACCTAAATATCTTTAACACAAGAGCTGCTCCCACTCTGCAGTCCCATGAACAGACTATGTAATATATTTTACTCTGTTAAGCTTAGTTTAAAAAGGAAATAATTCTCAAGCAGAAAGCCAGAAATTATCAATCTGAAAATTGTCCAGATAATATTTTTCAAATAATTTTTCAAATAAAAATTTAAAAATTTTCAAAATTTCAAAATTTTCAAAATAAAATTTTCAGTGTACCCTGGCAGCCAGGAGGGCCAACCATGTCCTAGGGGACATCAGGCACAGCATCACGAGCCAGTTGAGGGAGGGGATTGTCCTACTCTGCTCTGCACTGGGGCGGCCTCACCTTGAATATTGTGAGCAGTTTTGGGAACCACATATAAGAAGGATATGAAACTGTTAGAGATTGTCCAAAGGAGGGCCACGAGGATGGTGAAGGGCCTGGAGGGAAAACCGTGTGAGGAGCAGCTGAGGTCACTTGGCTTGTTCAGCCTGGAGAAGAGGAAGCTGAAGGGAGACTTCACTGTGATCTTCGACAGCCTGACAAGGGGAAGTGGAGGGGCAGGCACTGATCTCTTCTCTGTGGCGACCAGTGACAGGACCTGAGGGAATGGCCCAAAGTTGTGTCAGGGGAGGTTTAGTTTGAGTATCGGGAGAAGGTTCTTCACCCAGAAGGTGGCTGGGCACTGGAACAGGCTCCCCAGGGAAGTGGTCAGAGCACCAAACCTGACGGAGTTCAAGGAGTGTTTGGACAATGCTCTCAGGCACGTGATGGGATTCTCAGGGTTGTCCTGTGTAGATCCAGGAGATGGACTTAGATGATCCTTGTGGGTCTCTTCCAACTCAGGACATTCTATGATTGTATGAAAAATATCCCAAAATGGGATCTCTAACTCTTCTGTGGAAGACCTCCTCCTTGGTGAACTGATATTTTCCAGCTAAGAAAATTTTAACTTCAGTGAAGAGAAAAAAACCAGTGCTTAACATAGTGCAGAGTGGAGAAAAGTGAATGAAAAGGAAATGTCTTTAAAACACTAAAATAGAAGTTGTTCCATGCAGGATTTAAGACAAGGCTAAAGAAAGGACATTCTGGTACCTTATATGAGATGCTTAGAGCAAGCAATTTGACATCTGAGAATGGCAGAAATGGATTTTTATAATTTTAACTAATGGAGTCAGAAGCCCATTGCACATTTCTAGAAGAATGAATCCATGATAACACCCGAGGTACCAGAGTTGACTGCTTGGTGTTACTGTTGTGATAGAAAAAGGACAGGATTCAGGAGAACAGAGTAAGATTTACTGGGAATGATCACATTACAAAAAGACATATATATAGAGAGAGAGGGGTGTGCATGTCTGAGGGGGGGTGTCTATATGAATATCTATGTTATTTATCAGGAAGAGAGGCCAAGGTGTGAGATTAGAGGGCAGAGAATGATCATGAATAAAGTTCTGCACTTGTAATTTGTGTATAGGCAGATACTAAATCAGACCAAATCCTTTATGGTTATCTCTGCTAGAGCAATGCTAAATTTTGTTTTCCCAAAAGAACAGTCTCTAAAAATTATTTTACCCTGCCTTCTGTTTTTTGTGATGTATAAGGATACCAGTACTATAATTAATTCCCTCTTGACTCTGCTCATGGATGCTGTAACTTCATATAGCAGCATAGTTACACACTGAACAACCTGACATTTTAGCTTCTTACTTACTTGAGTTAATGGGAGCAAACCATTCCTCTAGGGCTGTACAGGAGAGACAGGTTATAGAGCATGTTGAAAAGAAGAATGTTAGCCAGCAATTTAGTCATAATTCTGCGAAAGACTTTCTGATCATGAAAGAAAAAAGGTTGTGTGCCTGACCTTCCTGGACATGGAGTGCCCTCAACTTTCACTGTGATGGCATTGAAGATTTGAGTCCCCACTGAACCTGCTAAAGCAAACACAGTGCACAGTCCCTTTGAAGTCCTGTGCATGCTCCTCAGTGCTGTGCCTGCCCTCAGCTGGGTTCATTCTCTCTGTAACAAGAACTGCTAGTGTTTAATTTGTGATGGGAAATGTGGGTTTTTTTTTTTTTGGGGGGGGGGTGATGCAACTCCTGAACTTAGCTTTGCTTAGACAAAAGCACTTTTATAATCTGCACTTCATTATATTTTTGCATTCAGCTCAAGTGCTGTCAGTGTTGTCCTGGAGCACAGCTCATGGGGCATTGAAAGGGGAACAGAGGTGCAGGCTGGAAAATAGGGGTGAAGTTTACTCTGAGTTCAGACTCAAGTTCCCATTTAGAGTTTAAGTGCCTGCACTCCTGCATGTGCTCCTAACAACCCTGGGACTGGAATCACAGAAATTCCCAGGAAAGCAGGCAGGAGTGCTTAAGACCCCTGTAACTCAGAACCATTCAAACGACAGACAGTGCACCGAACAATTCCTGAGTGCAATCCCATGGTTTGTCCTCATTTCACATAAAGCAGGTGTAGTTTGTCATGGTTATTTTCAGGCTCTAGGGAAGCAAGTTGCTTGAATCAGACACGACATCCAGCTGCGCAGACTTCAGGAAAGCCATTCAGCAGACTTCAGCAGAGATGGATCAAATGGCTTGGCTCTAAAAACCTTCCCCAGAGCAGGTAGGTCGCTACTGGATCTTGCATGTCAAACCAGAAACATCCTTCCCCAGACCTGGGAGACACAGCCTGTGGCTCTTTAAATCTGCACTGTGTGCTGCAGTGCTCTGCATTGTTGCCATGGCAGAAATCTCCCCGTAGTAATAACCTCTTTGAGGGAAGGTTAAAAAGAGACAGTGCACATGCTCAGAAATGCTGCACTTGTTCTCTTAGCAGTTTGCAGCGGCCATTTCAAAGAAACCATCACAAAGACAAGAGAAAGATCAGGTACTGATATTTTTTCCTTTGTTAGAGGGGATGACTTTTCTCTTTCACAGTAGTCCATGCACAGATCTATCTCCGTTCCCAGTTGCACTGCAGAGAGAGACCACCCTTGAAGCCTGTCATGATTATTCCTTGCAATTTTTTCGTGGAATAACTAAGAGGCAGGAGTTAGATGTGATTTAAGGTGATTGCTGCACTAGGGGAGCAATTGTTTTGCTGTGGGGCTCACATACAAAGCTGAGCTGACTCTGGGGTGGGTGATGTGTAAAGGTACCCTAAAAAGTTTACCAGCATGCCTGCTTTGTTTTGATGAACCTTTGTAGTACTCAGTCAACTATGAGAATAGCCTCCGCTCCTACTGATCAGGAGGCTTCTTCATCAGGTACTTTCAAAAGAGGCTGGTATTATCCTAGTTTACTGTTACTTGGAGACACTCTGCTGCATCCTGTTGCAAAGACTTTGGTTCTACTGGTTTTGATTGCAGATCACCATTAATTAAAACAGAAAACCCAAGCCACTTGTTATAATTTCAATCCCTTTATTTTAATGATTGTAGAAATAAGAAAAAGGATCATATCAGATTTAAATAGTGAGTGGGGTAGGAAACCCAGTTATGAGGTTATAGAAATTACATTACCAGATCTTTTTCTTTCTGTGTGCTCAAATACATCTGTGACTCTACGCATACATGTTTGTCTCTTGCCTCTGAACCACTCCCTGTCTTATGTTTAGGTTGAGGTGCACAGGAAGGAGATGTGTATAAGGCTGCTCCTTTCCTGGATGAATTGCTGGTTTGCACATGCTGCAAGTATTTGTGCAGAATTTACAGTTTCAGAGTAGCTGCATCTGAAAAGGTGGATCGCATAGATCGAAGAGCAAGCTTTTTCTGTTCTGTGTTTGTGGCAAGATGGGAAAACCCTTTCCTTTCCTGCCTCCCTCTATTGCCTTTCTAAATGTGAAATACAATCTGTTCTAGGGAGTGCTGTACTCTCACATTCAGTACATGCAGATTTGGTGCACTTACGCAACATCTTTTGCTTAGTGTGCACCAGCTTAAAAATCAGAAAGAGGCAGAACGTTGTCCTGCTTTCTGACGTTTAGCTGAAGATATTTTTCATGTGACTTTTATTGTATTGCCATAACTTAAGTCTTATTTGATTCTTTCTTTCTTCCATTTGAATGTACAGGAATGAAAGGTACCTAAGGACCTCTTTAGCAGTTTGCCAGAATCCTTGAGGCGTGGATTGAAATCTCTAATAGACTGTTGCAGCTTGAGCCAGGCCCTCTTGATCTGAACGGTTTACCTGTCAGGTCAAGAAACTACTTAATTTGAAACCTGTGTACTTTTAAAAAAAGTTACCTCTGTGTGAAGGGGAGCTGTTGCTGAGACAGATTCTGCCAGCTTCAGGGCATGGTGTGGCCTGGCTGTGGTGTCCAGGAACAAATGGATGGCTGCAAATAACAGTCTGAAGCCCAGATTAGGAGGGGAAACAGAAGGTCAAAGAGTTTTGATGTGTTTGCTGTTAGAAGTTCTACCTGTGAATTTGTGGAGGTTTAACAAAAGGCTTTTCTTTATCTACTTTTATAAAGGAGTAAGTTTTTATAGTCAGTGTGGTGTGTAATGCTAATGGTTACCTTTAGTTATACTTGTGAAAAAAATGGTGCATCAGTAAAGCAAGCCAGAGGGTAAAGAGCTCAGTTCCAGGTTTTGGTCTGCTTCAGCCAGCTCTGTAATCCCTGCAGTTTTGGTCTCCAAGCCCACCTAGTCTAGCTCTCCAGACCAGCTAGTCTAGGACCGTGTAGTTAGAAAAAAGTCACAGAGCAGGCAAAGTTGTTGGCATCCCGGCTTGCAAATGAAACCAAAAACTGTCTAGGGACTTCTGATCTTGTCCTTCATGTCTAGGGATGTTCTTTCCCAGTTGGGATTTATTTGCACTGCTGGAAAAGTACAGAAAAGTACTTTTGGTCTAGATCTGCTATTTTGTTTTCTTTCAGATGATGACTGCCAATGCTTTAACCATCAGGAACATTAATTTCTGTGTAACAAAACCCTTGTATCCACAGTGTTCCTCACTAACTTGTTTATGTCTCTTGATAAACAGAGGAGCACCCACTCCCAAGATGCTGCCACCCTGCCTTCTGAGAAGAGCCATCCTTACAGTTCCTTTAGTTTTTGTGGTTGTACTACTCTTCATGGAGCCTGTTAGAGCTGATCAAGAAGCAGGAACAGCCATACCAGCTGAAAGTATGTACCACCCTGCAGCCCTCCCCTACAGCCCCTACTGTAGTTTCCATGTTGCAGAACTTCACATCACTGAAACTTGTCCACATAATTCAAACTATTTTGGACATGTCTTGTGTATATTGTTTTAAAACCACAGCTTGATAGCATACCAGTGCTGTTTTGCTCTTGCATCCAAGGCTCTCCACTGTCTTATCCTTGTCTTTTGCCTGTTGCTGTCTTGCTTCTACCTGAAATCTGCCACTGTTCTTCACTTTTTCTTTTGTATATCCCTTTCAATGTGTTAGCCCTTTCTATGCCAGGAAACACCTTGTTTGCTTTTCAGAGACATTATTGAGAACTTGCTCTTTTCCAACCAACATTGGTTGTTCATTATATTTCATTCTTGAGAATGTTTACTATATTAAAGTAATTATTTTTATTTAAAAAATCCACAATGAAGATGCCAAGAAAACATTTTTTAAACACCTTTCCTTGTGGCCTTCAACACCTAATTCTCCTTTGTTGATTTGTATTGAGTTTATTTTACATCATAAACATAATGACAAGTCTTTGCATCAAGTTGTTGATGTGAAAGCTGCTGAAATTGTCGATGTGAAAACTTCTTTCCTTTTGTCCAGTACGAATATAGTAACACTAAAGTTGGGTGATGGTACAGCAATGAGAGAGTAGGTCTGTAATACTGCTCTGTGTTTTTTTCTATCTCTTTTTCTCTTTTTTCATAGCTGGTTAAAGAATTTGGCAGGCTCCTTTCCTCCAGCAGGCAAAATTTCTGTTTGCTGGTTAGCACATAGATCATGAGCTGGAAGCTCATACTCCAGCTTGTTAGAGGCATGTAGTAATCAGTCCAACATCAAGTGTTTGCAAAATGGGCTGACACTGCAGGATTTTCCAGCATCAGTCTAGGTTTCATCCCTTCTTCCTTACCAGACCTCAGAGAGCAAACTAAACCCGCGCTCAGAATTTCTCACTTGCACAGTATTTCCAGTGAAGTTGTCAGCAAGGCTCAGCCACTGAGAGGGAAATAAGAACATATGTACAGCCTGATGATTCAAAGACGTTTCATCATGTCTATATTTGTTCTGTCTTGGTACTGCTATCTGTTGGGGCACAGTTTTGTGTTACATGATGATCCACATGATGATGTGGCCTTCAGTCTGGGTGTCTGGATCTGGGAATGCTCTCTTAAACAGTGCAGTGAGTCCAGATTGCAGCAGTTCTGCTTATCAGCAATGCCCACTAATGACAGGGCATTTGTTTAGACTAAGCTGTATCATATTCAAAGTTAGAGGCTAAGTGGTCTGTCTGTGATATTGCAGACAGTTTTATTCCATTAGCTTTCTATTTAGAACTCAAGTTTGTGAGATTAGGAGATAAGATTTTCCAGGGAACAGGTTCATGGCTTCAGAGGTCTTTTCTGAAAAATCTGAAGATAAGGTTGAAAATGTGTTTGAGGTTAGTGAAGCAAAATGAAAAACTCAAGTTATGGGGTTAGTGTTTTCATACTATGAACTGTGACAAGGAAGAGTGGCACAGCAATAAAGGAGAAAGAAAAATTTTAGTGCAAATTTGTTGAAGTAATTATTTTGTTATTGAGAGACTTGGTGGACCATCCTGATGGACCATTTACAATAACCCAGATTGTTCAAGGGTACCTACACCAGTATAGACTCTGTGGATTTTTTCCTGTAGCTCTTTCAGATACTCAAAATCACTGTTTAATCCTTCTAGTTAACTTTTCATGCCATATAGTCATGATTCTCTACTAAATGGTCTACCAAATGCTCTCCTAGGCCGTCCCTGTGTTGATTGCCATGCATTTGAGTTCATGCAGAGGGCTCTGCAGGATTTAAAGAAGACAGCATATAACCTAGACACACGGGTAAGGAAACATTAAATTTCTTTCTTTTTACTTCTTTTTTTATATAGAAGAATATGCTGTGCATAAAAGTAGATAAGGTGGATGGATTTTGCACAAGCACTCAGTGAACTGTACTGTCCTGTCTTCTAAGGTGAGGATGGTTAATTACATTTCCATTTCACCTCTCTATGAAATAATCTGTGGAATTCTTCTGCTTGGGGGTTCCAGGACACCAAGAAATACAGGAAGGAGTGAACTGACCATCCTCAGCCCTCTATCCTTCACATGCAAAGTTACAGCCATTAGTGCTGCTCTTCTCATTCCAAATGCTGAGCACACACCTTTGTTTTTATGTTAGGGGGCATAAGGTGAAAGTATCATTTATATTTATTACCCAAAAGGAGGGAGCCAAACAAAAAGTCTACTAAAATAAAATACTCCCCTGCACATGCTTTTACCCCTGGGGAGAGGCTAAGGAAGGAAACATCATCCGTAGATAGTTTTTACATTTCTCCGATTTCATAATGATGAAAAACGCCACAAAGTAGAAGAGCATAGGGAATGAAACTTGTTTGGCTTGCAGTCAGTGTGCAGAATTTGCCAAAGTTGGTATCTTCCTTCTGTGAGAGAAGTGGAATCTTTTCTCTTGCTGCTGCAACCTGCAATCTGTGCGTGGCTGTGTCCCAGCTGCTGTCAGATGGAGGTGTCCCAGGAGGGTGGCTTTGTCCCCACCTCCTGTGTACCCTTTAGCTGAAGTGCTATATCTACACTCTTGCACAGATTTTTCAACAGAAGGCACTCAAACTTTTTTGTTTTTCTAATCTATGGTCAAGGTTGTTCACAGTTCAAAGCCTGTGAACTGCATCTTTGAAGAACAGTTTGAAGTAACTTCGAGCAGGGTCCCTGACATTTAGGTGAAAATGTAAGGGCAGGAATGAAGATGCCTTGAATTGTGACATACTACAAAAAGATAAACAAACATTCCAGCAGAACCAGATTGGTATGTAACACATTTACAGTTAAACAAAATCTGTTCAATAATTACAGGTCAAATATATTTTGGGTTTCATGAAGAAATCTTGCTAATGAATAGATCTTCTGAACACTGTATACAGCCCAAACAAGATGTTCAGATTGTGCTGTAAAGTGGGTCTAGTACATCTTTTCCTTCCTTTACAAACCTTTGAACTTTTCACCAGGATTTCTTCAACTTGATTCAAAAATATCTCAACTCCTAAAATCTTCTCTGGCTCTCTGGCTATGGCAGTGACCTTTATAAAACCTTCAGATTGTAGATAAGAAAGAAACTTCATGAAACACAGATATCCAAAGTAGGAGTAGCCATAAGAACCCCAAAGATAGCAACTCTATTTTAATACTTTTCAAAAAATAGAAGTAAAAGAAGGCAAAAGAGATAAAATGAGGATAGAAAAAAAGTCAGTTGAGATGAATGTCCTATTAACTTTCACAGTTGTAGATTTGACAGCAAGCCTGAAAATGTGGCTCTATTATATATTCTCACCAAAACAAACCTCTCACTTTCTTATAACTTTAAAATCTAAGGAGTTGAATCCATATTGAGCTCCTTCAGTTCCCCTGGACTAGGACAGGCCTATTCCAGTCATTAAGCTAGGAGTTCTGCCTACATCTTCAAAAGATATGGAAACATTTAATAGTTGAGGACTTCTTGGAACAGCCTTCTAGGGTATTTTAATTCTTACTTTTATTATTCAGCTGTGGCCCAATTTGATGCAAACTGAGAGTTTTAAGACTGTTCCTTTCAGCTACATAGATATTTCACATTTGACTATTTTAGTCTGTTTTGTTGCTTTGTGGGGCAAATATTTCTGTCCCTGAAAATACAATTCTCTTTGTTAATATTCCCACTGGATACACTAATTTTCTGAAAAACCCTCTTTTGTTTGCAGGCAAGATTGTTAGAAGATGACTAAGCAGCTTCTAACTGTGTTGGAGGAACAAGGATTGCCAAAAGAGAGGAATTTCTCATTTAATTCCTCCTGCACATCTCATTCTGCAGTTCTGTACATATAGTTTTATTGCACAGCTCAAGAGCTTTCACACTTAATTTGGCCCTGTGTTGATCTACATGGTGTCTCACAAAGCAAACTGTGTCACACACCCACACACCCCTTTAGGGAGGCCATAGGCTTTATCTCCTTCCTTTTACAAAACTAGATGTGTTTGTAACCTAAACTGATGTGAAGATCCCTTACTGATTGTCAGGCTGGCTGGATTTTACTCTCTCAGCAAGAGAAGGGTCACAGACCACCTTTGAGAGTCTGGCTTCTACCCATACATATACCAGACCTGTTTACCCCTCTGTGTAACTGTTCTCCACCCTTTCGTTGCTGCTGGCCCCTTGGAGCAGGCTGCAGGCTGGATTAGTTGTTTTGGCAACATTTTTTGGGGATATCTGTGATTCACCACTTGGCCAAAGTGCCGTATGTGGCAGGTGCAGCTCTGATGAGGAACTGGGGAGAGGGGTCTCATACTGCTGGGAGGAAGCTGCTGCCATCACAACCATTCAGCCAGTTCACAACCAGCTCCCCACAGCAACTAAAAGCTGCTCAAGACAGAGCCCAGCAGGGAGACGGCCATAAAACAAATCCTGGAAAACAAATCCAGCCCATGGGCTGCACAGTTCACTCTAAGTCTGCCCTGTAGACAGTTATTTTCAGAACTCCAGCTCATTTTTCGGAGTTAACCAGTGGACATGGCATTACAACTTTGAAAAGCTCAGGAACTGCATTTTTAGCTGCAACTTAACAGATTTTTTGTAGGTTTAGAATCTGGAACCTGTTTGACTTTTTTGGTGGGTTTGGTTTGGTTTTTTTCTTGTTTGTTTGTTTGGTTGTTTTTTTTATTTTGGTTCAGTTTTATTTTTTTTAAACATGCCTTAACCTACCAGGGAATAACAACAAAACTCTGTGAAAACAGTTTTGTGATCATTCTTTCAGAGGAGTCAGCAAAGCTGTATTCAGTGCCATTCCTTTTGTTCTTTATTGCTTTCTAAATTGTCAATGGTTATTGGAATGTTTAAAGCACATTAAGCTAGATGTGTCCCTGAAAATAAAAATAAAGGCTTGAAAATGTTATTAAAGGTATATAAGATGGTAAGCAGCCTTGGGCCTCAGCTCCAAAGATGTTGGCATGCTGTCAACCTCCCTTATTCAAACCATTGCAAATGATGTCAAAGAGGTGGTTAGAAGGTGGTGATTGAGTGTCTTTTCAATGATGAGCAAAGCCTGATCAGATCTTTCCAGCTTTGCAGGGTAGCTGAAATGATAAAAAATTAGTCCTGATTTAATATAGAACCACAGGGCTGTGTCTAGTGATTTATCATCTGAGGAAAACCCCTGAGCAGCAGATACCTTTTTCTGCACTAAGAAGGAAAGTGGAAAGCAGGATGCTTCAGCCCATCTCTGCTCTAAGTGCCTTTAGCTGATGTGGGTCAATGGATAACACAGGATTTAAAATACAGTCTTTTATCACATGACAATTCCATCTCATACAAAAATCACAAGTCAGGAAGATTAAGGATGGATTTGATTGGCATTTAGAGCTGGTAGTCTCCATAATACCCTTTTTTTTTGCGTAGCTGGTTGCACCAGTAGGAAATAATTTGGGGAGTGGACTTCCCACAGCTACTGTGTCTCATGACAATAAGGAGAAAGTCCTCTCTTGGATCAGACTGGTTCTCAGACACATCCCATGTGTGAGCTGTGATGGCTGCAGGCCAGCTCAGCACCTCTCTACTGTTTTGGGCACATCAACAGTAACAATGGGGAAGGAGGAGAAGTTAAAGCAGAAGTAAATCTCTTCACTGAGAGGGTGGTCAGTCACTGGAACAGGGTCCCAAGGGAAGTGGTCATGGCACCGAGCCTGACAGAGTTCAGGCTGGATGATGGGCAATGCTCTTAGTCATACAGTTTAGTTTTAGGTAGTCCTGTGAGGAGCAGGGAGTTGGACTTTATGATCCTTATGGGTCCCTTCAACCTGAGATATTCTATAATTAAAGTATGCCTTACTTTTTTTATATAACTTTCAACAGTGAGTCCAGCCTGTAATATTCTAAATTTAATGTTTGAGTCTGTTTCTAAGTAAAAGAAAATTTCTGACAGGTTTTTGGGATCTTTTTAAGCCTCTAATGAACATCTGAGCTTATGCTTCAGTTTGTGCTGTTGAAGTAAGATTGTAAGAAAGAAAAATAACTTTAAGCAAAAATAACAGCACCCAGACACATACTGAATGGACTGATGTGAAAAACATGAATGTGTATTGCCCTGAATTTTTCCATGTCACAGAAGTATTGCCATGTTGGTATGCCAATTAATCCCACAAAAGCTAAATTATTTTGCAGAGCAGTAAACAACAACTCTGATTTTTACCCCAAGCCTCATCTTATACAACCAGTTTCAAATCTTAGAATGAAAGTAAAATGGACTTTTCTTTGGGACCTAATTAGTTTTATAGTGCTGAGACTTGTTTTTTGATGTTGCTTTTTTCCCCCTCTCTTATAGACAGAAACTCTGCTTCTTCAGGTGGAAAAGAGAAATCTGTGTGACTGTGTAGCTGCCAATCTACTGAACTGAATCTTGGAGGCCACCAAGGAGAGTCACCTGTTCAGCAGTTTTTAAAATGCAGCTGTATAAAATACAGCTTTATGGAATTCATGTTGCAAGCATGTATGCCCCAATGTACTGATGAAACTGGGGGCCTGTGTCTTATGTATTTGTCTTCTATGTATTTTTTTAAAAGAGTACCCTCTTTTTTTCACACTTGCTGGATTGCCAGTAATGTCTCAATTCAATAAATCTATTACTTAATATTAGAGTGGGGGGGAAATGTACCTGCTTTGATTTTTAAATCAGAGTTTACCAAGTGTAACCCACAAGATAAATTTGGCCAACAGTGCTGTAGAGACACTTGCAGCTGTTTTTTGTCTCCAATATGAACATATCTCTGTGGTAACTTACCCAGTTATATTGAGACAGGACACTGTGGTCTCTGTAGGCTTTGCTTGTGTATTAAAGATGATAGAAGTCCTTTCTGTTTGTTGTTTGCACTCTGACCACCTTGAGGCATGTTGTAGTTCTGTCAGCTATAATGAGGTGTGTGTCATGAGGAATTACATGTGTGTTGTGCTTGCACCAAACCAGTTTATATCTCATTGCTGAGTTTTCTGTTATCCTGCATAAGAGTATTGTTTTCTTCAATTAAAGTGTTTAGTTTCTTCCCCTCCTTCCCTGGACACTCCATTCTTAACCTATTGTATCTCTAAATAGCTTTATCTTGGCAAGTCAAATGGATAGTGCACAAAAAGGAGAAGAAGGGTATGACTAGGCAGCCTTGCCAGTTCCAGCTGTACCAAATGCTGCCACCAGCAACTGCTCAGCATCACTATGAAGGAAAGCTCCATGCAGTGCCAAGAAGTTCCTTCCTGAGAGTGTGCCTTATTTTACTTAAAGTGAAGCGCAGTGATTAGGACACACGTATTTGGTCCATTCTGTGACGTACTGAACTCTGACTGTTTTGGTTTTTCCTTGTAGTTGCCTTTGAAAACTGCTCTTTTTGTTTCAGGCATGAAGACAGACTTGTGTACCTGAAAGCTGAGATGGTTTTTATCCTCAACTCTACCCCTTTATTGTAAGACAGTGTCTACTCACAAGTCTCAGTTAGGTTGTAGATGATTGGAGTTTGTCTAACATGAATTATTAACTGTCTCAAACCACTCCAGCATTGAGCTATGGGGTGCTAACTTGTCTTGGGAAGGGAATGGGACATCTGAAGACAAAAATCTCTTCAGCTGAATTTGGAAGAAAGTGCCTGCCTGTCACCTCGCTTCTCTAACTAAACTGGCGTGGCTTTGCTGGAAGTGGATGAGAGAAGAAATTAAACTACTGCTCTGCCAGTGCAGTTCTGGGTATGGTAACAAACAGTGGGGAAGTAGAGGAACACCATAGAGAGCCTGAGTGGCTTCCCAAACCTGTCCAGGGCTTGGAAAGTGTGCAACTGCTGCACACTGAGAAGTGCATCATGCTCTTTTGCGTGGGACCAGGACACAGGCCAGCACAGAAGCTCAATGTGAACTGGAGAGGGGATTCTGATGTTATTTTTCCAAATTCCCTCAGAGAGCACCTGTGCTGTATGTTTTTCCCTAAGTCTGTTCACACAGCCTGGGAGCACTGGCACTGCTGATATCGGGCTGCTTGGCAAAACCAGAGTCACTGTAAGCTTCACCTGCAGCTCCCCTCCCAGAGAGTGGGAAAGGGCAGCAGTCCTTACCCATGCATGGCAGAGCACTCTCAGGACTTCTGGAGCAAAGCCTCCTTTGGAGGGCTTCAGCTGATCCTGGCTGCAGCAGAGTGGCTTCTCAGAGCTTCTTGGCTTCTGTTGCACTTGGCTCGTCCCCGTCTTGTTATAGCTTGGCTTTGTTCCCCTGCTTTGCTCTGGACCTGTCTTGTCTGTCCTCTCTAGTCTGGCATTGCCCTCCCTCTAGTCCTGGGGATTTCTCAGTGAACCCCTGGCTGCCCATCCTGGTGAATCTGTGTGTAGGCACTGCAGGTGTGAGTGGTGGGGCTTATTGTCCTCAGGTCAGCTGAGTCCAGCTGGAGCACTGCCAGAGCAAGAAGTGGCACTCCAATTTACCATGGAGTGAGTGAACATGGCGCTGAGGGATGCAACATCCTACGCAATGCACAGTTTGGTCTTGCATTGAAGCCAGAATTGAACAATATTTAAATGCCTTTTGACAGCTGGTATATTGCACATTGAAAGTATTGTTTGTTTTATATACAATGTAAAATCAAATTTCGGTTTTACCCACGGAGGCTTGAACCATGCCTTTGAAGTCAATAGCTTTTCTGAAATAAAATGTGTTCTCCCCACCTGCCCTTTCCGTATGCACAGACAGGCTGTGCAGAGAACTGCCTGTGCCTTTTGTTACTCTGGTTTTGATAGCCACAGAATAATGTGTCCAAATCCCAGAACTTAAAATAACAACCAACATATCCACAGAATCATAGAATCATACAATCTACTGAGTTGGAAGGTACCCATCAGGATCATCGAGTCCAACTCCTGGCCCTGCACAGGACACCCCAAGAGTCACACCATGTACCCAAGAGCATTGTCCAAACACTTCTTGAACTTTGTCAGGCTTTGTGCTGTGATCACTGCCCTGGGGAGCCTGTTCCAGTGCCCTCCCACCCTCTGAGTGAAAAACCTTTTCCTGATATCTAACCTAAACCTCTCTGACACAGCTTCATGATGTTTCCTCGAGCCCTGTCCCTAGTCACCACAGAGAAGAGATCAATGCCTGCCCCTCCACTTCCTCCTCATGAGGATGTTGAAGACCACAGTGAGGTCTCCCCTCAGTCTCCTCTTCTCCAGGCTGAACAAGCCACTCTTCATAAAGCTTCCCCTCCAGATCCTTCACCATCCTCATTGCCCTCCTTTGGACACTCTCTAATACCTTAATATCTTTCTTACATTGTGGTGCCCAAAACTGCCACAATACTCAAGGTGAGGCTGCCCCAGTGCAGAGCAGAGCAGGACAATCCCCTCCCTGGCCCAGCTGGCGATGCTTTGCCTGATGCCCCCCAGGACACGGTTGGCCCTCCTGGCTGCCAGGGCACTGCTGACTCACATTCAACTTGCCATCATAACACATGAATTCAGAAAGGATTTTTACACACAACTGGCTAGCAAGTAAATAACAGCATGCTTATATCTTCCTAGACATGGATGAGATTGGCAGTAGCAAGGCAAATAGCTCACTTTCATCCTCAGTGGCATTCAGACAGAGTACACAAACAGCACACAACCCCTGCCTATGATGTAAATTGACCCCATGTCCAGCACAGTGATGAGTTGCTGGATTTCCAGCAGTCCAGTGCAAACCTCATATGTAAACTAGGAAAACTGGTATTTTGCCAATGGTTCGTACTTTTTCTTTTGGTTCAAAAAGCCTGAACTGACCTTCATTTCACAATAGCTTGACAGCAGTCCCTCCTGTGTAGCTGAAAGCATTCTAGGCTTTCAAAAGTATTTAAAGATGCTTGTCACCCTTGGCTTCAGTTGATTTCTGGGGAACTGATCAAGCCTTCACAGAATCACAGAATCAACCAGGTTGGAAAAGACCTCTGAGATCATCGAGTCCAACCCATGACCCAACAGCACCCTGTCAACTAGACCATGGCACTAAGTGCCACATCCAGTCTCTTCTTAAACACCTCCAGGGACAGTGAATCCATCACTTCCCTGGGCAGCCCATTCCAATGTCTGATCACTCTCTCTGTAAAGAATTTCTTTCTAATGTCTAACCTAAACCTCCCTTGGCATAGCTTAAGACCCTGCCTTCTTGTCCTACTGCTGGTTACCTGGGAGAAGAGACCAATCCCCACCTGGCTCCAACCTCCTGTCAGGGAGTTATAGAGAGTGATGAGGTCTCCCCTGAGCCTCCTCTTCTCCAGGGTAAACAACCCCAGCTCCCTCAGCCTCTCCTCAAAGGACTTGTGCTTGAGTCCCTTCACCAGCCTTGTTGCATTTCTCTGAACCTGCTCCAGCCCCTCCATGTCCTTCCTGAACTGAGGGGCCCAGAACTGGACACAGCACTTGAGGTGTGGCCTCACCAGTGCTGAGTACAAGGGAAGAATCACATCCTTGGATCTGTTGGCCACACTGTTCCTGATCCAGGCCAGGATGCCATTGGCCTTCTTGGCCACCTGGGCACACTGCTGGCTCATGTTCAGCTTCCTGTCAATCCAAACTCCCAGGTCCTCTCTGTCTGGCTGCTCTCCAGCCACTCTGTCCCCAGCCTGTAGCACTGCAGGGGGTTGTTGTGGTCAAAATGCAGGACCTGGCACTTGGCCTTGTTGAACATCATACCACTGGATTCAGCCCATTTATCCAGCCTGTCCAGGTCCCTCTGCAAAAAGCCTTGGTGCTCTTCCATATCTTATACTGTGGTGAAAGAGACCTCTTAGAGTTGACTAGTTTGTACATTAAAGGATCTTAGTACTAAATTTTTGTCATATTCCCTCTTTGCAGCCACATCCCTGTTTTACAATGGCACATGGACTTTGTTGGGACAGCTGCAGTGTCTTGAGGCCTTGCAGTCTGACCAAGGTTCAGTTTGTGGTTGGATTCTTGAAGGGTTTTCCAGGAAGCTCTAAGATAGGGAACTTGTCAAGCAATGATTCCAAAAACAAACTGGTCATTTCACGAGGGGGACTTTTTCCCCCCACCAAACTTCTGGCAGTTCTTAAAGAAGATACTGAGCCATCAAGCAAAGGTGAATTATCTCATGGCATGAAGGACAAGGTAAGCATAGGGTGATTTAATTTTTAGTCCTTCTCAAGGCCTGAGGTGGCTGTCAGAAAAAAAAGACAATACAATTTATTCTGTTTATAGGCTGGAACATCTAACAGTGCATCTCTCAATTCATCAACAAGACTGTGATATACTTCTTTAAAGGGGTATCATGAAGCTGTGGGCCCTGGCAGCTGCCCTGTAGCCAAATGTCTTTGAATGCCTTTATCAGTAACCCATCCCAAAATGGGGATGTTCTCTAGCCATCATACCTGCTTAGACCAGAAAAACATTTCCTTTGCCTTGATAACTGAGGCAGGAGAAATAATTAGTCTGAATTTCAGATGCTGCACAAGGGCAATGCATTTCTCCCAGGGGTGTCTGTGTTCATGCTGGAATTACAACACAGAGGGCTGGGAAGTGACTGCCTGGGGAGCAAAATTATTCTGAATTATAGAATCAGGAAAAAAGGAAGGGAAAAGTATCCATAAGAAATCACTCAGTCCATCTCTTGTTTTTATGCAAGGCCAGCTATCCCAATGCCATTCCCAGATGATATCTAATTTATACCTGCAGTCTTAAATATTCCCCTGTCTTTCACAGGTAATCCCTCCTAGTGCCATCTTCATTATTAGGAAGTTTTCCAGGGGCTTAAATGGTGCCTTCGTGATGCCATTTAAACTTTTGGTTATTTCTGCTGCTCTGGGTGTCTCTGACAGTTCCTAGTATTGCAGTGAC